AAGAAGCTCAGAGTTCACCCAGTTCACCCAGCGTGAGAGTAAGAGCGTGTGATAGAAAACTGGATCAACAATAGAAAAGGGCCCATCAGCATTTGTAAACAAACCGTTTCAAAGCCCATTCCTCACAAATCGAAGGCCGCCCACGCAAACCAACACCATCATCGTGTAGGTGGAAGTTTCCCCTATTCGATGGTGGTGTTGGTTTGCGTGGGTGGCCTTCGCTTTGTGAGTAAATGTCTTTGGAACGGTTTGTTTACAAATGTTGATGGGCCCTTTTCTATTGTTGATCCAGAAAACATGAACATGAATGGCAGCAAACCTCACTCTCATTTTACCCCCTTCGCTCACAAGCTCTGAAGCTCAGTTGAATGATTTGGCAGTATTCTACTCCTCAGAAAAATGCTACGCTCGGCTCATTGCAAATTCGCGAGTGAGGCTCAACTCAAGCCTGATTATGAGTAGAATTCCAGAAGATTCCAAAGTAAATCTGAAGGAATTTCAGGAAGCATTTTAAGAGAATTCGAAATAATTCTAAACAAAGCTCAAACAAATGCTTTGCAGAATGTTAGTTTTAAAGGAATTCCTAAGAAAATTCATACAGAGGGAATTGCATGAATTGGCGATTGAGCTCCAAAGTGAAAAACTCAGTGAATGTTGAGCATATTTATGAGCAATATCCTCCAGAAATGGAGTTTTGGGCAGGGATGAGACCTGATTGGAGCAATTTGGATGGGGTAGGGTGAAATTTCCAACTCCCGTCTTGTTAACATTTCGTGAATTGAAGGTGGACCGAGGGGCACGCACTAGTCTTTCAATACTACACAGCCTGCTGACAAAATATTTAAAATCTTGCCATGGGCCTTATTACGGGTATATTTTTTTGTATGAGAATTTCGTTCGAAACGAAATACAGAATAGGGGTGATCACTACACGGTGATAAGCAAGTGATACTCATAATAAGAGCCGTGATAACCGTACAAATCAAATGGGAATCACTTCACCGTGAAGTGACATCCGTAATAAGCCCCCATTACTGCATTAAATTTATTTTCAATAAATACTCTTACTACTCACAAAATTTTATAATTAAATTATTTTCAATATAGTTAAATTATCGTTAATTATTTGTTAATTACTTTCAATACGGGTTAAAGTATGTAAATTCAAATTAGTACGAAGTATTTAAATTACTACGATGCTTTTTAAATATCACGCATATGATATCTGGAAGGGCGCGCCCCTCGAGGTGGGCTCTTTTCCCACTCATTGGGACATCCCCTTTTATGATGACTTGTTCTGTATGGGGTTGGATGGTAAATTGAATACGACCAGGTATCGTACTTGAACAAGTCATACGAGGTAGACAGTCCACTGTCTAATGACTGTGCCCTCTGCAACAAAGAATGGGATCCTTGACATACATACATAAGGAGAGCCTCAAGACATTAACGATCGAAATTACCTGAGAGGTTCAAGGGCTTTCCAAAGATAATTTCGAGAGAACCCCAAGAAATTATCTTAAGGGACTTTTTCAGAAGAATTTCAACAGAATTCTGAGGCAAATCAGCATGGAATTCCGAGGTGAAAGATACATATTTTGAGGTCCAATCAAATTGCCGGTTCAGTGGACACTCTGTTGGTAGTGATAGAGCTGTTTGCGAGAAATCAACGATCGAAGTGACCGCAAGGCAAGATCACTTACCCTTGATCCAGTCCAAACTGTACTTATATTATAAAATTAATTGCTAAATGATAGGTTGAAATCTCTAATTAGACGCACAGGTATGGAAGGTATGAAATGATCACTTCGACAGGACACAACACTAACAAAAATGGCAATTTATTAGCACACGAAAGTAAATTATTTGCATTGCACCAGACAGCTTGCTAAACCAAATGGCATTCCTCTTCATCCATTATCAAAAACAACTTTTCCCATATTGTTCAGATAAGCCTAAAATAGACGAATAATGTTCGATGGTTCACCACTTATGACTCGAGATATTTTTTTTATAAAAAAAAACAGTAGAAAGGTGGCAGGAGGGTAAATGCCATACTAGTTGACGATGGACGATCAGACTAAAATCTTTCCAACGTCATTTGTTTGTACATCGTCGTGGCGGGCTGCTTTGGACACTACTTCTTGTTAGTGAAGGCAAACTTTGAAAAATTGGTAGTAGTGTAGTAGTTAAAAAAATAATAGAATGTAGGGTATATCCGATAGTGATACCTTTATGATGGTGTTATGAGAAGTAAATGAACGAGATTTATTTTAGATAAATGTTCACCATAAGCCATCAGACCGCAGTCGGAAATTTTAACAGGTGAAATTTACTGTCATATTAGTAAAATTGCTGATTTTACAGAACTTTTTAAAGAACATGTGTTTTTGGTCTGGTAGATACAATATGGAGAAAAACCACTTCTCTCTTCTTTAACCTTTCCAGAACAATTGGAATCAGGGCTGGTAAATATCACGACCGTCATGTGACAATGAGAAAACACTTTCACGCGACGAAACTACCAATCACGAACACTCATGAGAATAATTCGGTTTTGACATCAACATTTCTAACTGATTTAGGCAAGCAACAGTATTTAATGGGTAGTGTGAATATGTTTTAAAGATTTCCGCGGTACAAGTAACAATATCACTAAATGAACAAGTCATGGCAAACAAAAATCGATGAGATTTTGACTGAAACATCAATTATCGTTTTCTCATCCGATGACAGTGGCCGAAAGTATTTCTGTAAAACTCGCTCGAGATCTTGCATTGCAAATAACATTCATTAGCCTGATTGAATCATGTATGGGAAAAATATAAATTTACAATTACAATAAACTACATATTCTGGCAAATCGCGGTATTCAGAGAAGTGCACAGCAGAGTATTTAATACGATCAACTGAACTACAATAACAGTAACAAGTCACGAATGAACATTCAATTTGAAATTGCCCAAAGCCGCTTGCCCCGACAGAAGTTAAATATTTTTGAAGTCTTGATGAACTTGAGATGAAAATAAGGTACAAACCAGCTGATAATAAAACATTGCTAGCATCACATTTACCCTCATCCATGCTACCCATAAAAGCTTTTCAGCCTAATCAAGCTGTGAATGAAGTTCCATATTATATTCAACATTCCAGTGACTGGCCCTAGCATTTAATCCGAATTTAATTTGCTAATTGCTAATTGAGTTCTATGCTTCAAACGAAATTATTTGTATAGAAAAAAAACATCACCGAATTAGGTAGGTACATGAAAGGAAACGATCGATCAATCTGTCAATGTTTAGGACGGCTTCAGTAGTGTTGATGTTAAACTTATTTACAAAAAAAAAAAGAAAAACTCATCATGACCTTTGCAATAAACAAAAACAACGAAACGTAAAAACTCCATATCAGCGATGGAAATATCCTAACGAGGCAAATTTAAAGGGCAACTTATTCGGAGGCTGTTATGCTCTCAGGGGCAGCATAGATTTGCACTGAACATTTAATGCATAGGTACTTACGTGTCGTATCTTTGGTCGTCCACCATGGTGCAAGGAAGTATTGGGTGCCATGCCTTGGCGCAACACTGCCGAACAAATCAAGATAGGAAATAGCGCAATGACGCTAATTATTCCCACTGGATTATGTTCCCTAGCATGTTGTTGCCCAATCCAAACAGAAGGTGTTATTTTGCGAGGCAAAATAGCAACAACCGTTCGATGCAGTTTCACCGGGAGACACCGAGGCGAACAGTTTCAAAGTGGACTATCTTTTGGAATGCAGCGGAGCGGGGGACTTATTCGGAATCAGGGATACTTATGAACTAGTAAATAGAAAGGAAAGTTTATACCCACCTGTTTACCTAAGGCCCTGGACCAGACCTTCTCTTCATTGGTTTTTCATATCTTCTTCGATTGATTATTGACATCTCTCTCATCGTATGTTTTATTCGTCTTGTCCTCCTAAAATCGGTTAGCTTGCATATTTGACTTATGCTCACCATTGTTATGCTTCCAAGCACAATTGAAGATCACACTGGGCATTCAACAAAATGATCATTTTGTTCAATGCTTTTGAAATAAGCAAATATTTGGCAGCTTACCCCCCTCTTACGAGGAGTAATCCACCCACAATGACAGTAACGAATTTCCCGGCCCTTCTAAATGCAGAGCATGGCATGACAAAAAGTGGTACGCCCGTTCGACATTGACACCCGCAGAGCTCTTCAAGCGTGAGTTTCTTCAAACTCGACAATTGTTGCTGCTTGAAGCACTCCGCTTCGTATTTAGTGGGGAGAAATCATTTAGAGTTCATATAAGAAGGGACATGTGATCGCTTAGGTTCTAATCAAGAGCATGTGGTAAGTGCCGTCCGTACCGGTCCCGATCCGTGACACGCGCCTCTTCTTACGTTGCAACTGAGAAGCGATTTTTATGATGGCCACGTATCGAAACTTTCCGGAGGGCTGGAGGGAAGGAGTTTTGGCAGAGGTTGTCTGTACATGGCCTGACCCTAAATCGAAGCTGTAAGTTGGTACATGAACTATTCAACAGACGCGAAGCTTATCCTAATCCACCTGATCTTTGCTGAGGGGGGAGTGAAGAAACGTACCTTAACAATGAGATAATCCCAACTCGAAATTTGCCGCTTGGTCCGGGTATTTTCACTTATAGTTTGCACTAATAATACTTTCTGAACTGAACGCACAATTTAGATACTTGGATTTGGTAAAACAAAAACACTGATATTCACACTTTCACTGAGCTGCGAGAAATAATAAATAATTGGTTAGGCCCTCCTCATATCCCCTCCTATGCTGTGTATTGGTATTAGTTAGAAGTGTAGGTGTGGGTTTGACCTATTCTAGTTGGTTTTCAACGGGGAAGCGAAGATCAGGTTTCTTGATTCGACAACAACACTCTCAAGCGCTAGTACGACAACAACCCCCACTGAACGCCACTGATTCCCCCCGGGCTGTTAGCATTGGTTCATACACCTACCTTGTGCTGCCTGGTCTGCTCCGGTGCCACTTTCCGCGTACGATTCACTGCCAAATCCGGATGCGCCAGCCTTTGCGTCCTCACCCTCCGCAAAGTATGTTTCGTCATATTTGCTCATATCACCATATGTCTCATCCTCCACGTAGTGTGCCGAATCGTCTTGATCCTGATCGTGTTCCGTAGTGTCCTGTTCCGTTAGCGCTTGTTCCTGTTCGTGTTCCGCTTCGATCGCTTCCACCTCCGACGGATCGTCCGCGTATTCCGGTTCCGCTTTCGGGTTGATGGTTTCGATTGGCATTTCTACGTATTCCGGTTCGGAGGAGACCGTTGGCTGCGGGGTCTGAGTGATTTGCTTCACGATCTGAACGGTTTGGATCTGTGTCGGTTCGGAAGCTTCAAGCGGATCGGTGAGCTTGGCTCGTTTCATAATCTGGGTCGATTGCGGGGTGATAGAGGCTCGTTGCTGGAGGGTGCGTTTCTGGGACTGTGGCTGTTGCTGTAGGATCTGCACTTGCTGCGGCGCAATGACCTGAGCAGTCACCACGGTGCCGCTAGAGCTGGCAATGGAGGCAGGGGTAGAAGTGGCTTGAATTTGTACTTTCTCGTGGTCGCTTCCGTCGTCCGAGTCGAGTTTGTATGACTGGATACGACTTCGCGGCACGGGTTTCGCCCGCGGGGACGACGCTACAGATGGAATGGTCGTCGAACTCGCCGACGGTAGATGGGAGGTTTCTTTGGCGGGTGATTGATGTGTGGGTGCGGTTTCTCCCTGTTTGAATAAAACAAACAAACAAAATTAGTTTCAGATAGAAGAAGTGAACTTCCAATACTCTTACCGTTTCAGTCAGTCCTTTAATTTGAAGCGCTTCCGCCGTGCTGATGAACGCGGGTAACGCATCCTGCTTCACGTTCACCTCACCACAATACATAAACTGGATGAGATCCTTCAGTGCCGAGTGACTTACATCCTTCAGGAAAACTGTTGAAGGAAAGAAAACATACGAATTGAACTCGACCGCTCCCTCAAATGGTGCGCATGAGCACAACCACAACACGAGTAGGTGGGTGAATCGATTTTTCCTGGCACCTACAATGCCTGGGAAAATCGATTTCCACCCGTCTAAAACAAAAAAAAAGGATACTTACTGAATGCGTGCTGGTTGGCAGGCATCTGGGTGAACATTTTCCGGAAGTAGGGTGAGCATACTGATAGGATGAGTCTGTGTGCCTTAACTAGTTGACCTTCGGCGGCCAGTGTGACGTCCACCAGGTCGCCCCGTACGAGGGATTCATGGAATCCAGCTGATAGGTTTGTGTTGAAATTATTCCAACACAATGAGAACTGTTCGTCGTCCGCCATCTTGTGGCGTGTGGCTTGTGGGCTGATAGTGGGAATGGGAGAATGAAAGAAAAAAATCCGTTAGCTACAGCTATGCTTGCCTGATGCTGTAGATCAGCATACATACTACTAATACATTCAAAACCAACTGGGAGGAACGCTATGCTCGAATTATGTAAGAAAACTCCTACTAATAAACTACTGTTAATAATTGTACCAAATCATACCGAAATTTCCAAAATTATCACCTTATAAACGATAATGGAAATAAACATATGCCTGAACGATTAGACATCCAATTGATTGGATCCGAAAAAAAAGCCTGGCCCAGATTTCGCTACGACGCAATAAACGCTACGCCATTACGCAAACTCCGTCACGGCAGCAGCCAGCCCAGTGAAATTCCAGAAGAATTTTCTCGAACAGCTGCCACACCGAACAAAAACTAGTTTTCCAATCATGGCTAAAATGTTGTTTACTAATAATCGAAACTTTCGAGTGCCGCCATGTTTCCGAAAAATGCTGAAACGTATTCAGCAAATCGACCAACGTTCGACATCTTTTATCATCGCCAACGCCGCATCATCGAATCGAGCCGCCATTTTCTTTTTCACCACAGCACCTACCCACAGCTCGACATCGATTTTTCTGCGCGGCTGTACCTACTGCTTGCTGCCGTGGTGAAAAAGCATGATGGCGACCAATTTTCGAGTCCCCGGGTGGCGTAGCCCTAGCGTTCCACTTCCTCAGAAGGCTCTAGATTCACCCAAAAACCGCAAATTTCACCATTAAAAACCGTCTACCTACCTTACTATATACTTTAGCAGTTATTTTAGTGTAGTTTCACACTAAAAACTTGTGTCACGACTTGTTAAAAATTTCAGGCGTTTTAACGCCGCTCACACCAACATGGGGAGATACACGTCTACACTCGAGCACGGTCACTTTTGAAATGATGCTTTTCGCCGAACACCAAAAGGGAACGATGCTCGTCTTCGTCTTTCGTTCGTCGAGGTCGAGCTGCGCGCGGGAGATGAAAAGCTTCTGTTTCGCAAAAACTGAGCGAGCTTTCGCCTGTGCAGGGGTGTGCTAAAATTTGAAAATTAACGGTCGTTTGGAAATATTTCACGAGCGGAACAAGCAACCGAAATCGAGGGGAACACGAGTGTTTCAAAGCACTTATAGCGACTCCAACTCGGAATAACCTTTAATACCGTCCCTGTTTGAATGATCTGCAAAAATTTTGTTTAGAGTCGTGTTGATTAGCTCTGACATCAAAGCAGTCGAATATTCTTGTTCGGGATTTAATCCGAAGATAATACCGGTTGGAGCTTACCACCATTAGAGGACTTTAGAGTGTTTAAGTCGGGATGGATTTGAGATTTGAAGCCGGCGCACAATGCATACGTTTTCGGGTTTTCTGACAGATCAAGAGCAAATTTTCATTATGTCGTAAGTTACATTCGCACCGATCCGAGAAAAATAAAGTTTTGTTTTGATGACCGAAAAGTTATTCCTATTTCCAATTAAACACATATAATCTCATAGTGATAGCAATGTTTAACATATTCAGCCGGGTTTTAACCATACAAAGGCAAATCGCTAGCTTTCATGCTAAGAAATACTGGTTTTTGAGTCAAAAGTTATTATACGTCGTTTGGTGGCCCCTATTGTTACTTAAGTCAAAGTGTATTTACCAGGATATTCGGGAGAATTATCAATTTCGTCTCCTTACGTGCAGCCCATTCATCATTTTAGGACCACCGAAATCATCTTAGCAACAAACAGTTCGATTTATTCACTTTAATAATGAGAAAGCGAAACGACGAACGTACACTTTTCACGGGTTTCTCAGCGCTGTTACTTAAGTCAAACGGCATCTCCATAGAAATTGGGTGACTTAAGTAACATCGAAAACTATTTTGATCGGAAGGTGATTACGTCAAAAAGCAATTTGACTGGTAAATAAATTTAAAAATGGGATGTGATCCTATATTCGGACAGTATATAGTGTAATAGCAGGAGAATCGATTGACACTGATAGCTCGACTTTGTTTACCTTTGTTACATTCGACGTAATGAAAATTTGCTCTTGATATAGTGTAATAGCAGGAGAATCGATTGACACTGATAGCTCGCCTTTTTTTACCTTTGTTACATTCGACGTAATGAAAATTTGCTCTTGAGATAATGTAGCCCATGCACTGTCAAAAAACCTGAAAACGTATCCATTGTGCGCCGGCCTTTGGGCACAATCAGAGGCGTCGCGCCAAACATTATTTGTTACAATTGGAAGATTGCCGTAAAAGCTCGACGCAGATGTCGCCACTGCATGATGATGATAATGTTGACAGACTGCATATAAAATTCGTGAAAATTTGCATTAAATCATAATTTTCATCAAGCCTGCGTGAAATCCTTCCAATATAACATTCGAATTGAAGAAGAAAATGTTTTTACGATCAGACTCATGTGCATCTTTGACTTTTCCAGATGAACTTTCATAAGATATATTCATTTCATTTCACGGCTCCATCAATGCTGCATCGTACGTATGATGTAAACAGAAGTAAATTGCTAAATTACTCAAAACAAAGATGATTTGTCATCTTGTTAACACTTTATAAACCATCGAGCACCATTTTATAGTATGATGCGTGTTGAGTAAATCAAGTTCCATTGCGTTTTCCGTCGAAAATTGTGAGTATCAATATGTTTACCTAAAAAAGGCCAAAATGAACATTTATTGAAAATTGGCGTCCTATACAACCATTTCTACATTATCACCAGCATGATACAATCTTTCCTAAGTAAATTCACTTAATTTCCACTTTCATCCTAGTGGAAATCGCACAAATTCACCATTTTCCGAAAAATGCAGCTGCACAGGAGGCGAGACAGGAGGTAGCCTCTACCTGTGGGTGTAAACTTGTTGTGCCTAATTTTCCATGAAAACATCTCCGATCCATACCGAAATAATAACAGTTAGTTTGCAAACACGTTTTCTTACACGATTCAAGCAAAAGTTTCCACCGGAAATTATTAGTTTTTTATTTATGTACAGATTTGCCCCCAAAATCGTCTGTTTTACTTGGAGAATTTGGAAACTATCCTCCTTCTAGTAGTTCTCACTTCGAAATGTAGGTGGCGAAAGCTTGGAAAAGTTTCACTGCAAGACGCCAATTTACCACCATCTATTTAGAAATTGCCGTAAAAGCTCTACGCAGATGTCATGCATGATGATGTTGATGTTGGCTAGCTACACTCAAAAAATTCCACACGTCATCATCATGTGTCTCACACTTAATTTTGCGCATATTGTGAAACACATCCAGTTCATGTGTGAACCCTAATAAAAAATAACCATAAACGAACGATAACCCAAATCATTGAACTATTCCACAAATGGTTTGGATGATACCCAGAACACGTCGTTAAGCAAATTAACCATACAATTTTTATTAGGGAATCTTATGCTATGAACCATGCCTGAACACTATGGATTTGAATTATGACACACTTGGATTCTATGTGCCTCATATGGTGATATCAATAGCTTTGCACACCATAGTTCAATATTCTACAATATTCTACTTTATCGAATTCTACTTTACCGACTCTAAAAATGAATCGACAAATATATAAACAAAACTGCCAGAGACCCGAGGGGCACGCAATAACCTTTAACTCCTACGCAAGCCTTTTTTAAGTACAATAATTACAGTTAACTACATAATTAATTACTTTAATTAAGAGCGTCGGAAATGTTTTGATTTAATTACTTTTAAGTACAAATTTCAGTTTTAATTACAAGTCGCATAAATTAAGTACATTAACTCCATTAATGTACAACGAGAAATGTACTTAAATTTCCCCCAGCGTACCGTTAGACCCTTTCGTTATTGGCCCGTAAAACAAAAATTTCACAGGCCCTTTTGCTACGTTAAGGATAATGTCAGCTCTGATAAATTGTATCGGTACCGCTGTTATGACTTCAGAATAGACCCTATAAACATACATCTCCTGGGACCTACGAGGAAATCTACGTTGGTGATTGGTGCCAATTCACATGCAACGATCGGTTCGTGATTGGAAATATAGTCGGATTTCAATACTGCCGAGGTGTTGGCAGGGCAATGAACTATATCCTGGATCACGCCCCTGTCAAAGCACCGGAGAATGCGACAATGAAAGGAATGTTTGTTTGTGCTACCTGGTTCAACCTAAGAAATAACTAATTTAATTTGGTGGATGCGAACAAAACCAGAATTACAAAAATTATGTTAATCTTCTCTAAACATCTAAATTTGCATAGATTTCAAAAATCAATTAGCTCTAAAAACATAATTTCTCAATATTTTTCTTTACAACAAATTGAATTTTGTCTTGAATCTATTGAAGTTTCTGAATACATCTGAAAATATTTTGATCAATTCATGCGAGAATTCATGGTTCCTGAGTTATATCAACAATCAATACGAAACTAACGATTTTAAATTGGCTCACCACTTTAGTAGCCTATTGGTCCCAAGCAAACGATTAACGTACCCTATTCTAGTTGAAATTCTATTACTACACTATGTTTGTTTTGATTCGCTATGAAAGTTTGACAGATAACATAAGGGGTGTGTGGATTCATGCAGAACATGCAGGGGTGAGTGAAATAGCTTGGGACTGCTTGGGACCGTTGTTCTGGTACTGAGTGAGCCAAAAATAATAATGATTTTCTTCGGGACCCAGTGGTCTTAGAGTTACCTCTATGGTTATATCGGTTCCCGTTGGGGTCACTTTTGGTCGGCATTCGGCTTTATTGTTCTGTAATAAGTATAAACACGATGAACATCATGTTTTTTTCGCTCAAACGATGTAATTGGACCAGTGGCAGCTATTTCGATGGTTCACAATCACATTGGGCATCCCGGAAATGTTCCGGTGCCCCGGGGAAGTGGCCATTTCGCAACAAGAACCAAAACCCATCATGCGACATATCAAACTTCATGATTTTACAAATCTTGGCCAGTAATGGACTTATTGAAAGTCCCTGGTCACACTAGCCCTTCCGGGAATGTTCCGGTGCCCCCGGGGAAGTGGCCAATTCTCAACAAGAACGAAACCCATCGTGCGACATATCAAACTTCACGATTTTACAAATCTTCGCCAGTAATGGTCTTATTGAGAGTCCATGGTCACACTAGCCCTCCCAGACATGTTCCGGTGCCCCCGGAGAAGTGGCCAATTCTCAACAAGAACCAAAAACCCATCGTGCGACATATCAAAATTCATGATTTTCCAAACTTTGGCTGGTAATGGCCTTGATGAGACTCGACGGTCACACTAGCCCTCTCGGCATGTTCCTGTGTCCCCGGGCAAACTTCAAACTTCATGATTCTGCACGGCTAATAATGGTTTTAGACAGTCCACAGTCCCATTTAATTATACCCCCCCCCCCAGGTAGATATTCAACTCCCAATAAGAACCAGAACCCCTCGTGTGACACAACAAACTTCATTATTTTACGAAAATCCGTCGGTAATGACCATATTAAGAGTTCAAATTTGCTATCCCAGACAGCTGAACGGACACTGGAGCTGGTGAATACTTTGGACATTCACACGCTGCGCTACTTCCGGGAAAAAATCGCAGCTGGTACGCAATTGTCTTCCCAGCACGGATAACTTGAGTGTGTCAAGTTGATCGGTAACGATCATTTCGTGTCCTGTGCATATGGGACTCATCGTTTCCTATCGGTTTGGAGTTCTGCCCATAGTATTGTTTAGTTGACCCATGGAAAGATGAACAATGGGGAGGCGAATTTCATAAGTGCTATCGCGTCAATTCTGAATACGGATGTGATCATAATGTGATATTTCAGTTTCCAACTCTAGCATGGTGCTTCAAGAAATTTAGTATAAGTATTCGCAGAATTGGTCATGTTTGTAGTCTAGTAAAACATTAAT